GTAGTAATATATATATATATATATATATATATATATATATATATATATATATATACCACATATGGAGTCCGTTTAACGTCGAATCGTGACGAGGATGATGGTGATGGTCACGGGGAGAAATTACGCGCGACGTTTCACCGAGAACGATCGATTACGGCGTACGACCACCAGGGTGACAGTTTATTTACCCGACGCGTGGGAGGGCTAATCTACGGCGACGGCCGAATAAATTCTTCCCGTGCAAACGATATCAGACGCCGTAGTCGCAAATACGCGTCGAAGGAGAAGTTGCAGGCAGCACCCGCGGCTGCCAGAGTTAACAAATTGCTTTCGGCTATCCGGGGCATTCAGCATTGACCACTACTATACACCACTTTCGTTTTCACTCGCAGCAACACACTGACCTAAATCGTGCGCATTATGAAGAAGTCCTTGTCTTCACTGCCATTGCCTTGTCACTGAATGGGGCAATTCGGGCCTGGTAAACCGTTATGGTTACTGACTACGAGTGTACGTGCGATTATCATAATACACGTGTGCAACACTGCCTCCATTTTCAAAGTCTAGCAGGAGCGAGATAACTGTTCCGAATGAACTAAGAAGTTAGTGAGCTGTAGCAAGAGTGCACATAGCAGAACAACATGAAGAATACTAAATACACTTGTTCTAATTTTATTGACTGTTTTGAAGTGTTCGATCAAACTTTACCGCACCCCAAGAAAGATAAATCAACGGCATTTTTTTCCACTGTCACCTACATTCACAGTTACCATATTATCGCCAACCCCGACTGATGTCCAACGACATTACCATCTAACGTCACTGCCTGCCCTCCAACCATATGAATCTAGCCATAATGATAATACATCCTAATAATGAGATTGCGATTCACTAATGTGATTCTGAAATATATTTTTAAATAAATATACCTACCTGTATGCACAGACGTGCGAGTGCACGCAATGACGTTTTGTCAGACTACTGTCCCTAGTGTTTAGTACGCCCCCCCCCATCCCGTGTATAACCTACATATCCACTCACTTAATTCGGCACTGTATCATAGTATATGTAAATAGGTCGTTCGCGCATTATTGGCTTTCCTTTTGCTACCTCTCTCTCTGAAATTCTGACCTGCATGGGCGTACCATGAATCTCTTGGCACCAGCTGTGTACATTCCATAGATGCTGCGATAGCATAGGTGCATCTCACAGATATAAACGTGTGCACTCGTCACTGCAAAATGCTGGCCACGTTTAGTGGCTTCATAAAACCATGAAGGGCAGCCGTTGTGGTTATGTGAACCGCCTAAGCTACTGCTAGGCGACTATCACTTTCAATTTCAGTAACCAATTAACCCCACATGCCCGCCGTAGTGGACACTGTCGTAATTGCAGCAACTAGCTGCAAAACTCTCATCCTTGACATTGAAATTATCACGTCACGCGTAATGATGACATCTGGCTTCTTTATATAGCTTTCGCAGCATTGAATAGCTGCATTTTTTCCTTTAGGAAATGTCCTCCCACCACAATAACTGTATGACCCTTCATTCCACGATGCTCTCTCTCATGCTAGCACACACACGCACGCACGCACGCATGAACGCAAGCACGCATGCACACGCACGTACGTTCGCACGCACGCATGCACCCCCACACACACACGGACACATGCACGTATACACACACACACACGGACACATGCACGTATACACACACACACATGAATGCAGCCATGCAATATGTACTCATAGATTTCCCCACTTCTGTCATTTTTCTTTTTCTTCTATTTATCCCTTTCTCTCTAACTCGCTTCTTCTTCCCTCTCTTTCTGCCTAACAACCTTGCTCTGCTACCTTTTTCCCAGCTTAGTATATATCTAATATTCACCAGTTGCAATTGTGAACAGCACTTTCATTTTCACTGACATACATTCCTACCCCAAATCCTTATATTCAAAACTCGATTATCATTTTGAGTTGCGTTTCAAGGACGGCTGAGCAAACCAAACTGTATGGGTTTGCCGAGAGTCTTGGTCAATCTCGCTAATGAGATGTATTAATTTATGATTACCTAATTTCTAGACAAGACATGACTCCATCACAAAAAGCATGTTTGGCAATATTCCAACACACACCATGGATTCTGTCATCTATTTATGTACAAGGAAAGGCCATTCACTGATAAGACTTATGAGGCACTTACACTGGTCTGTGTGGTCCTGAAACAGCATCGGGTTATCTCCAGATCTGGTGAGGCTGGTGGACACGCCTCCAGCCAGCAGTGGCGAAAGTGGGCTTCCTCTCGTTGACTCATCCCCAGGGGACGTCTCCATCATTTCTGCAGGAGCACACGCACAAAAGTATTTAAATTCATGAAGCTGATTGCACCAGCTAACCTCACGGGCTCTATGCAGTCTCCCACTTTCAGAGCATCAATTCTCAACATCTTTAAATTTTGTCAACACACAGCAATGAGATGCTTTTAAAATGTGAACCTGTCGGATACAGTCACACTGAAGTCTCACATGAAAAATACAATCTACTTGTTACCTACGTAAAAAAAAATCGTTGTATATTCAACTTGTATTGGAAATAATTCTCAGTATATTGCCACCAATATGTAAAAAATAGCTAAACACGCATACTAAGCTATAACTTTTTACCGGAATTTTTTACCCATAAATAGGGCGATACTCTATTAGGAGTGTTCCCAACCTTAATGTCAATAATGGTCATAATAACATATATATATATATATATGGTCATGGTCATGGTCATATATTAGTTTGTGGTTTAATGTCATTTAGGTTAGGGTTAGGGTTAGGGTTAGGGTAGGTTTAGGGTTAGGATTATCAATCATTAATCATTAATCTTTAACCATTAATGATATCCAAGTTGGGAACACTCCTAATGGAGCGTTAGCCCATAAATATACAGAGCACTAACGAAATTTACTATCATGTGCAAACGATATCATAATAAATTAATAATACGCAATAATATTATCAGGAGTCTATCAATATTGATAGACTCCTGATATTATCTTACCCGTGAGTACTATAGGCCAATCTCGAGAGTAAGATAATAAAAATATCATTGGCTTGAAAAATAAACCCACGATTGAATTAAAACAATTTGCCATGATCCGAGTTAGACATGAGAGTTCTCATTTCATCCTCTTGCACATAACTGTGAGCTGCACATTCGCAAGTTTATCGTGAGGTATATAGCACAAGCATTTTGTAAACAGAACGTAGATGAAGGTACATGGCTGCACCATTAAATGCTAACAAAAACAATTTCCCCTTTTTTTCTGATGTTATTGAATAAACTCTATTACTCAATTAATTTTCATTGATTTTACACCATTTGACTGTATTTCGATAATTCATGGTTCGTAGGGGACTGAAATTTTTCCCAAGGACTTTTCAAGGACATTTTATCGGAAATTCAATGACATTTTATCAGACATTTTATCGG